TGCCCCCGCGACGCGACACTCGGTCCCGCCCTTCAGTAGGCGCGCGATAACACCGCTCTTGAGTATGCGCGCGACAACACAGCTGATCAGAACGCGCGCGACAACGCGCATTGAGTGACAAGCGCGCTGTGTACGGATAGAATCAGCGGTGCGGGGAGCGCTCTCTCTCCCCCGCTCCGCTGATTCTGTCAGAGTACAGCGGTCGGCGCGGGCCACAAAATATTGCACTGAGGGCCACAAATGGCCTGCGGGCCGCGAGTTTGAGACCCCTGGTGTACAGTATGTGTGTGAGTGTATGGTTGTGTGTGCGAGTATATGTGTGTATGTGTACAGGTATATATGTGTGCATGTGGGTGTACCTTGTATTCCTTACATTGTGGGGACCAAATGCCCCCACAAGTATAGCAATACCAATGAGTTTTGACTTTATAAGGACATTCTTGTTCCTCATGATGAAAGCTGCTCCTAAATCACACAGATTTTAGAAAATCTAAAAATGTAAAGTAAAAATGCATAATGTTTTCTATCAGGGTTGGGGGTGTAATACAGTCTGTACAGTATAAAAATCAATACATCTATTAAAAGTCCCCATTAAGATAGCTGTACAAATGTGGGCGCGTGTGTATTTAAGATTTGAATCATCACAGGGTGTAAATTGGGGAGTAAATTAGGGACAATTTGGCCCTCCTCACTTTCTGCCACCCCTTTATAGGTCTGTTTGAGGGTTAAGATTTAGTTTCATTTACGATAGGTAAAGTTTTAAAGATGACATTGTTTCAGTAAATGTCCTCACCGGCTGTGTATGTGAGTTGGTGTGTGCTCCTCTTGACAGGTCTTGTCAGCGTGCTGATGTTGGGTGGCTCCTCCATCAGAGGGTCAGACTAACATCATCAATCTTGCGCGGGCGACAGCTCTGTTCTCCCTCCCCACACTGGTTTGTTGTTTTGTAATTAGAGCGCCATTAGATGTCAGGAAGCCGTCCCCTGCGCTCCCTCTGTGCACAGCTGGGGCCGCTGGAGACCTGTGGGACGCTCAGGGTTGGGGATCTGCCTGGTGGGACCCAATGAACATGCAGAGTGTGAATGATGTATTACATGATGAATCAGATGGCTTGACGATGGCGTTCGGCCTCAAACAAGCTGCTCAAACAACCAGACCACACTGAAGAGCTGCATTTAGACGGGATAAAGAGTGAAAAATTGGAAAATGATTGATTAACGAGTTCTATTTGTCCCTACGAGTTAATAATGAATGAGTAATTAGTAAGTAATGAAAATATTATAAATTCATATGTAGATTATTACTTTTTAGTAAAACAGAAACAAAAAATCTTAATGCAATTAAATAAATATTAAAATAAAACAAATATTATTTAGAATAAATTATATTTGTCTGCTATTTCTAGGTCTGTAAAGTAGATATTAAAGTTGAGTAAAATAAGGTTAACATTGAAAATGTCCAATGAAAAAATATGAAAATGAAATTTAAATTAAAGTTAATTAAATAATTTAATAATAAAATAAATAGGGCAGCACGGTGGCGCAGTGGGTAGCACAATCACCTCACAGCAAGAAGCTCGCTGGGTCAGTCTGCGTTTCTGTGTGGAGTTTGCATGTTCTCCCCGTGTTGGCGTGGGTTTCCTCCGGGTGCTCCAGTTTCCCCCACAAGTCCAAAGAAATGCAGTGTAGGTAGGTGTGTGAATAAGAGAGTGTATGGGTGTTTCCCAGTACTAGGTTGTGGCTGGAAGGGCATTGGCTGTGTAAAATAATTGCTGGATAAGTTGGTGGTTCATTCCACTGTGGTGACTGCTTGTAAATAAGGGACTAAGCCAAAGGAAAATGAATGAATACTTAAAACAAATAATAGTTAGAATGAATAATACTTGTCTGCAATTTCTTGGTCTATGTTGTGAAGAAATATTTGGGAAAAAATTGTAAATTGAAGTAGATATTAAAGTTGAGAAAGTAAGATTAATTAATAATGTAAATGAACAATGAAACAATATATAAATAAAATGAATATAATGTTAAAAAACTAACAAGTATTATGATGAAAATGTTTTAAAAGGTGTGTATATATATATATACACACACATACACACACACACACACACACACACACACACACATATGTATATATACATATGTGTGTGTATATATATATATATATATATATATATATATATATATATATATATATATATATATATATTAGGGATGTAACGGTATTGTAAATACCGTCATACCGCAATATTAATTTTTTTCGATATTACCGAAGTCGCATGACTCGGTAAAACTATAGGTCTTCTGAGAAAATTTGCTCAGGCGAATGAAGCGAACGGGAGGTAGCGAAAACTACAATACCCATCAGCCCATGCTTGACCATCATCCCTTGCGGTCTGTTGTCGCTACAGATCCAGTAATGCGGAAATGGAGTGTGCTGCTAGAAGCGGGGATGAAAAGAGCTCTCGAGCGCCGAAAACGGAGCGTTTCGAAATGTGTGGATAATGTCTCAGTGTGGATAATGTCTCAGTGTGGATAATGGAAAACGGAGACATCTGAAAACGGAGGCGGGGCTGCAGACGTTCACCTCTCTGATTGGGGCTTTTCCTGAATATTAAGTAGCCTAACACGCACAGTTCAGTCCTGCATCCTCTCCTTGTAAGTTCAGACTTCGCAAGTTTGATCAAGGCTGCAGTCTCTTCTTCTCAGTTTGATATGGAAAAGCAGACTATACCGAGGACACGGGTAAATCTTCAAAGGGAACAGTGTACTTTATAACTTCATTCACATCACCCTGGCTTCGTTGTTTCACTTTATCAACAATAAAATGTAAACATGATTTAAGGAACTGCCTATTTTCATTTTAATATTAGCAACTTAGACAGCAGACATGTTGAGGCGTCGTGCTGCATAAGATGAGCGTCATCTTCACTGTGTGGATATTTATAACAAAACGGAGCCGATAACAACTGCCTCCTTTCAATTTCAGTGAAAATACGAAACACAGCCTCTCTTTTGCTGAGTATCAGTTTTAATAATCGATAATGGCCATTTTAAAAGTATAACATACAATAAGTTTATACATTATAGGAAATAAAGGCAAGCGATCAGTCAATATACAGAATGTACGTGGTTACATTAATCATTAACTTATCTTTGCGCTCAGCCAAAACACGTTACCTGAGAACAAGTAATAGATTCCAATGCCCAAAGTCAGGGAATATGTCGTTAGATAAAGACAACAAGATAAATGAAATATCCCGTTTAATAAATATAGTGAGATTAGATCCAGCGGGAGATGCTTGATGAGAAGTCCGACTAGCAGAGCTCTCATCTGGGTAGATGGGCTGAGTGTGATTAAATGTTGAATGTGATGAGTTTTCAACAATACTAAATTGAAACTTTATTGTTTTTACATGGTTTAATAATTTTTTGTTATTAAAATTGAAGTTCCTGTTTCAAAGCTTACAGATAGATGGCTAATTTGTATGTCATTGACACTTTTGGCACTTTTTTGGAGTATTTTCATAAGTTTTGTTTTTTCCTGTAAATGATTCAATAAATACCGTACCGTGACATTCATACCGAGGTATTACCGTACCGTGAAATTCTGATACCGTTACATCCCTAATATATATATATATATATATATATATATATATATATATATATAAATATGTGTGTTTGTGTGTTTTGTGCAATTTCTCTATTTTCTAGTGGAGTGAAATATAATAAATAAACATAAATAGTTACATTTGTAAAACTAATAAAATCAAATAAATATTAAAATAAATCAAAAATTATTTTGAAAATTTTTTTGTCTGTAATGTTATTAAGAATCTTTTTAAAAAGTTGAGCAAAATAAGGTTAATAATAAAAATGAGCAAAGAAAAAATACCAAAAATATGAAGTAGTAATATTTCAAAAGATGCGTGTGCGTGTATTTGTATTTATATGTGCGTGGTTTTGCACATCACCAGCTATAATTTCTTGTGTAAAACAATAAATGTATAAATTATTACATTTGTAAAACAAAACAAATCTTAAAATGCAAGTGAATATATAAACCCAATTTTATTTAGAATAAATAATATTTGTCTTCAATTTTCTGGACTATGTTGTAAAGAATAAAAAAATAATTAATTAAAGTAAAATAAGTTTAATAATGTAAATTGACAAAGAAAAAAAATAATTATAAATATAATTATAACATTATATTTAGTTATATACAGTTATGACCAGTTTTTATTTACCCCCCCTGTGTATTTTTTCCCCCAATTTTTGTTTTACGGAGAATTTTTTTTTTCCAGCACATTTCTAAACATAACGGTTTTAATAACTCATCTCTAATAACTGATTAATTTAGTCTTTGCCATGATATCAGTAAATAATATTTGACCAGATATTTTCAAGACGCTTCTATACAGCTTAAAGTGATATTTTAAGGCTTAACTAGGTTAATTGGTTAAACTAGGCAGTTTAGAATAATTAAACAAGTTTTTGCATAATGATGGTTTGTTCTGTAGACTATTGAAAAAAAAATATAAAAATAAAGGGGGGAATAATTTTGTCCTTAAAATGAAATTTTATTTATTTATTTTTTTAATTCAAAGGAGGGGCTAAAACGTCTGACTTCTGCTGCGTGTGTGCATGTGTTTATACAGTGCTCAGCATATACAAGTACACCCCTCACAAGCCTATTTTCTAAAATTTCATATTTTTATTAGGAAGCTTTACAATATTATATTTGTGCATATACATTAGATTAGTCAGTACTGACAAAGACTACATTAGTTGTAATATTAGAAGTAATATTATTTTAACAATACCAAAGATTTTGCACAATATTTACAAAAAGAATAATCAACTCTACAACACTGATCATAGGATGAAATCATAAGATGACGTTATTTCCATAAATGGGCTTGATTTTAATGTAAATGTATGTATATTTCTATATTTTCCTGTATATAATGCTCTGATCTCTTTCACAGACAGCGTTACATTGGGCTGCAAAACATGGTAAAGAAGACATGACCACAGCGTTGGTAGAGGCAGGAGCAGACATCAATACGAAAGCAGTACGTTCAGACATCATTTACTCATAAATCACTGCATTTTGAGTCTGATACAGATGCATACAAGCTTGAACTCTAATGGATTGTTTTGTGTCTTGTTTTTTTTCTCAGCATGTAAGTACTGCTCACCTTACACTCACACTGTGTATGAATACATGAAGACATTGTTGAAGTGTATCTATGTGTGAGTGTGTGTGCATGTGTGTTTGTGCGTTTGCTTGTATTACTATCCTTGTGAGGACTGGTTTGAGTTTTTGACCATATGAGTAAACTGAGGACATTTTGGTTTGAAAGGGATATAGGGAACCACTTAAGGGCTTTTTGATTGGCGCTAAAAACCTCGTGGACAGTACGGTGACATAACCCAAATTAGTATCCTAGCTCAATTACATTTCCTGATCATGCACACTGTTTTCAGGCATACCTAAAGAACAACAGCTCAACTTTTCAGTGTGTGTGTACATTCTATTCCTTAAATTACAAATGTCCCCACAAGTATAGCTATACCAGTAAATTTGAACTTTGAGACATTTTTTTATTATATTTTTTCTGTTTGTGTGTGAGTGCGTGTCTGTCTGTCTAAGTGTGTGCGTGCATATCTATAAGTGTCTACTTTGAATGTGCGAGTGTGTGTGCATGTGTGTTTGTATTCAAGTATCCGATCTGAAAGTATGTGTAAGTGTGTCTGTGTGTGTGTGTGTGTGTGTGTGTGTGTGTGTGTGTGTGTGTGTGTGTGTGTGTGTGTGTGTGTGTGTGTGTGTGTGTGTGTGTGTGTGTGAGAGCGCGCGCGCGCGCGCGCGCATGTGTTTAAGTTTTCTCTCTAAAAGTGTCGGCTGTTCTGTAACGTGTGAAGGGTTTTGGGTCATCCAGCTGTGCAAATGAATGCAGCGTGTGTGTGTTTGCGGGCATCTGTTCATAAATCAAGCTCTGTCATGTTAACAGCTTCCCTTCAACAATGTCTTCATGTATTCACACTGCAGCCTCAGAGCAAAGCAATTTCACTGAATTACCAGCCAATTATGATTCTGTTGCTGTAACCTCAGTTCACTGGTGTCTCCCTCTTCTCTTCTCCTCTCTTTTCTGTGATTCTCTGCACTGGTGTTTTTTTGGGATTGGGACACGGGCATTAGGGGGTGAGTGTTGAATTTTCCTTCACCTATTTCCTTGTCATTTCTGTGTTGTGGTGAGATTTATCACTTACGCAGGAAACTTTTTTTCTGGATGAGTAAATCTCATACTCACAAATAACATTTACACCCCTAAATAAGATGAATGTTGTAGAAATAGTATTTTATATATATATAGTTGAAGTTATATATATATATATATATTATATATTCATATATATATATGAATAGTTGAAGTCAGAATTATTAGCCCCCCTGAATTTTTAGCACCCCTGTTTAATTTTTTCCCAATTTCTTTTTAACAAAGAGAAGATTATTTCAACACATTTCTAAACATAATAGTTTTATTAACTCATTTCTAATAACTGATTTCTTTTATCTTTGCCATGATGACAGTAAATAATATTTTACTAGATAATTTTCAAGACACTTCTATACAGCTTAAAATGACATTTAAAGGCTTAACTAGATTAATTAGGGTAGCTTAACAGGTTAGGATAATTAGGCAAGTTATTGTATAATGATGGTTTGTTCTGCAGAATAAATATAGCTTAAAGGGGCTAATAATTTTGTCCTTAAAATGGCTTTTAAAAAATTAATAACTGCTTTTATTCTAGCCGAAATAAAACAAATAAGATTTTTTCCTGAAGAAAAAATATTATCAGACTTACTGTGAAAAAATTATTGAAAAAATATTACATCATTTGGGAAATATTTAAAAAAGAAAATTAAAATCAAAGGGGGGCTAACAATTCTGACTTCAACTGTATATATATATATATATATATATATACACATTTTTTTTCTGCATTGTAGGGGTGTGTATATATCATCAATGATGACAAAATAAATGCACGTAAATAATTCCTTTGGAACTATTACTTTAAAGTATTATAGAATTTACATAATATTTCATTATCACATATAATATACAATCTAGTATATATGTATATACACACACACTCACCGGCCATTAGAATTAGGTACACCTTACTACTATCAGGTTGGACACATCTTGCCTTCAGATCTGCCTTAATCCTTCGTGGCAGAGATTCAACAAGGTTGTGCCATATTGACATGATAGCATCATGCAGTTGCTGCAGACTTATCGAGTGCACATCCATGATGCCAATCTCCTGTTTCACCACATTCATGTTTGAGTACAGTGAACTCATTGTCATGTTTAAGAAACCAGTCTGAGATGATTCACGCTTTATTACATGGCGCATTATCCTGCTGGAAGTAGCCATCAGAAGATGGGCACACTGTGGTCATAAAGGGATGGACATGGTCAGCAACAATACTCAGGTTGGCTGTGGTATTGACACAATGCTCAATTTGTATAATGGGCCCAAAGTGTGCCAAGAAAATATCCCCCACACCATTACACCACCAGTCTGAACCGTTGATACAAGGGAGGATGGATCCATGCTTTCAATTTGTTGATGCCAAATTCTGACCCCACCATCTGAATGTTGCAGCAGAAATCGAGACTTATCAGACCAGGCAATGTTTATCCAATCTTCTACTGGGCAATTTTGGTGAGCCTGTGTGAATTGTAGCCTCAGTTTCCTGTTCTTAGCTGACAGGAGTGGCACCCGGTGTGGTCTTCTGCTGCTGTAGCCCATCCGCCTCAAGGTTAGACATTTAGAAGTGCTTTTCTGCATACCTCTGTTGTATCAAGTGGTTATTTGAGTTACTGTTGTCTTTCGGTCAGCTTGAACCAGTCTGGCCATTCTCCTCTGACCTCTGGCATCAACAAGGCATTTGCGCTCACAGAACTGCCGCTCACTGGATATTTCATCTTTTTCTGAACATTCTCTGTAAACTCTAGAGATGGCTGTGCATTAAAATCCTAGTAGATGAGCAGTTTCTGAAATACTCTGACCGGTCCGTCTGGCACCAACAACCATGCCACGTTCAAAGGCACTTCAATTACCTTTCTTCCCTATTCCGATGCTTGGTTTGAACTGCAGCAGATCATCTTGACCATGTCTACATGCCTAAATGCATTGAGTTGCTGCCATGTGATTGGCTGATTAGAAATTTGCATTAACTACAGTTGGACAGGTGTACCTAATAATATAATAATAATATAGTGAATATACAGTGCTCAGTTCATAGTTGAGTACACCCCATTTTGAAAATGAATATTTTTATTCATTTCTCAGTGAATATAAGGAATGTATTTTGGTGCATTTAAACAAAACAGAATGATTAAACAGATTTATTTTTATATATTTTAGTCACCAAGAATATTTAGAAATTGAAAGAAAATACAATTCAATTCAATTTCAATTTGAAAAAAAAGTTACAACCTACAAAATTTCAACAAAATTTTTACTTTTTTTTTTTTTTGCTCCTTGATTTTTTTTCCCTCTTATTTTTTTATTTTATATATTTTTTTAACATTTAACCTTGGGTGTACTAGTTTTTGGACCATTATCCTAAGTTATTTTGTTAGATAAGCTCCAGATTTGGCTTCAGCACTGACTAAACTAATGTATATATATTATATATACATATAAGTATAATATTGTAAAGCTTTCTATTAATAATATGGATTTAAAAGAGAGATTTGTGAGAGGTGTACTTGTATATGCTGATCACTGTATATACATACAGTTGAAGTCAGAATTATTACCTATTATCTTTAGAAATGTGCTTCTGTTAAACAGAAATTGGGGGGGGGGAAATAAAACGGGGGGCGAATAATTCGGGGGGCTAATAATTCTAACTTCAACTGTACATGCATACATATAATTTTCTTGATTAAAACTAATTTAAATGAGTAAAATATGATAACATACTAAAGCAAGGAATATTTAAGATTTTCTTGTCAAATGCAACAAATTCTTTGCAAATACATGAAAAAAATATATAATAAAATAATTATTAAAAAATAAATGGAGGAGTTATTAAAGCAATTATACATTGTACATCCTGCATAATATTGTGTATAGTTCAAAGATTTGGGACGCTAATCATGTAAAGAAGAGGTCAACTATTTTTAGTTAGTGTATTTTAAATAAGGTTTTGGATAAATAGCTCAAATACATAGTCATCATTATTGGTCTTTAGCCTTAATTTTCGTTATCTTCATCTCAGTGCAGATCTTTACATCTGTTTATGTAAAATATAAACTAACTTCATTCAAAAATAAGATTGTTGCTGCTTGTTCAAACTATTTATTTAAAATCAGCTGAATCAACACATTTCTAGAGAGATTTTTTTGGTGCAACTTAATTGTTTTATGTTCAGTTCACTTAAATTTGTTAAAACAGTTAGCTTAATTTGTGTGGAACCTAGCTTACAGTGTTGATCCTTTTGATTATGGGGTGAATTTTTAACTAAATGATTTTGACAAATTTGTATCATATTTGGTCTTTTATTCACTCACAGGGATACACACCTTTACACATCGCAGCGCTACATGGACATCGGCATATAGTGGACCTGCTGGTCAGGACATATGGTAAGCATGCATTCATTACAGACATGCTTTAATCTTCTGGCTTTATACTCCATTTTACAATGGTTGAAATGTATTTTTTGTTAGATGTTGCTCCAACAAAGCACAAATTATTTGGTGTAGTTATATGTACATGTTTTAATGTAACTGAAATAGTCTTAATTCTTGGGAATATCTATGTTAATTTCATTAATTAACTGTATAATAACATGCAGCTCAGTTTGGCAACACAAGTGTCGTCCATATGAAATGTGCTATTTTAGTTACATAATCAACCCTACTCTACTTTTTTTATTGGGTTTTGTTTTTATCTTTTTATTTAACCCTGGGTTCATTCACAATGTATTTAGCAGGTATAAAAAGTTCAACTCAGGAAATGTTTTCATTAAAACCAAGTTAAAGAAATGGCAATATTGCATTATATATATATATATATATATATATATATATATATATATATATATATATATATATATATATATATATATATTTAATTTATATATTTAATTTATATATATTTATTTATTTATTTTTTTAATAACTCATTTCTTATAACTGATTTATTTTGTCTTAGCCATGATGACAGTAAGTAATATTTGAGTAGATATTTTTCCAGACACTTCTATACAGCTTAAAGTGACATTTAACCCTCCTGTCATGTTCACATCCTTCCCCTTACTTTAGTGTTCCCAGTCAAAATTGACTGGTCTGTTTTAACTGCTCTGATATTAGCACAAAATTAATTTTTCTCCACCAAATTTTCTCAAAGTAGTGTTTAACATGAATTACAGACACCTGTCTAGTCTGTGTAAAGATATGATACACTGTTTTATTAGGAATTTGATTCACGATGGAGGATCCAACACTTTCATGGCAAATTGTAACTTATTGGGTTTGTATCTTATCCAAATGAATTTGTACAGTCTCATTTATACAGTTTTGTACAATTTGCTTATCCCCAATGACGATTGGGTTTAGGGGTGGGGTTGGGTGCCATGCCTCATTTTAAAAATCATACAACTTTGTACGACTGCACTTATGAATTACCAGTTTATTATTTAAACATAAACCAGTTATGTTTCCTTGTGAAATCAGGCTGGAGGATCTGCACATAAGCGCGTAAAAGACATGTGTACCTGCAAAAGACATTGTTCAGTCTAGAGTGAGTGAGTGAGTGAGGGAGTGAGGGAGTGAGTGAGTGAGTGAGGGAGGGAGGGAGGGAGGGAGGGAGGGAGTGAGGGAGGGAGAGAGTTAGTTTTCTGTCTGATGAATGAATTTAGCCTGGATTCCCATTCACACAAGGAAGCAGTGTGTTTGGGGTTTTCCTTAAGTACTATTCTACAGTTGTGCCTCCAATTAACTCAAATGTTGTCAATTAGCCAATCAGAAACTTTCAAAACCTTGACACCATCATCTGAGCTTTTTTTAGAGGCAGAATGTTATTTTATGTAAACTTGACTTTCAAGAAAAGTTATAACAATTTCTCAAAAAATATCTTTCTCGTTATTGTGCTATTAAGCAGAACAGAAGTAAATGTGATAATCCTAACTTACCTAAAAGAGGAAAAGTTTGGTCACATTAACATCTGAATTTTTAAATGGTTGTGTGCCTTTTTATACAGTGTATGTTATCTTCTGGTTTCAACGGTATACATAAAGACATAAAATAACTAAAATAATAATATTAGTAATAAAACAAACAATAGGATAAAAAAATACATCTAAAATCAAAAACACTATATAATGAGAAAAAAAATTAGAATAGGGCTCCAGACTTTCCGAAATTGTTCTGCTTTTGTTTTCTTGTCAACAGGACCTTTTTTCATACTAAGAGCATGTAAAAAAACAAACAAAAAAAAACATTGCAGATAAGAATCCTGCCGACTTCCATTTCATAATAATAAGTTGTCTTGCGAGTAGTCGCAAATCAGATTCTGGAAGAGTTCCAAGCAGTACTGTTGAAGGGTTCAGGTGTATTGGCGCTATTGAACCTTGCTCAATTTAATATTTCTGAAATATAAATGTGTTCACAGGAGCGAAGGAGAACCTGCGGGACTACAGTGGCCGCTTACCATATTATTACCTCAATTTACGGGACACACACTCAGAAGAGCACGACCTCTGTGAGTTAAACTCAACTCTTGTTTTTCTGCGTTACAACATCTGTGTGTGTGTGTGTGTGTGTGTGTGTGTGTGTGTGTGTGTGTGTGTGTGTGTGTGTGTGTGTGTGTGTGTGTGTGTGTGTGTGTGTGTGTGTGTGTGTGTGTGTGTGTGTGTGTGTGTGTGTGTGTGTGTGTGTGTGTGTGTGTGTGTGTGTGTGTGTGTGTGTGCGCGCGCGCGCGCGCGTGTGTGTGTGTGTGTGTTTAGCTCATTCAAACATGGACAGAGCAGCAGAAGCTGTTTTCCACATCAGCACAGGGATCTACAGGGAGCCTCGTGGATCAGTTTTAGGCTGTTTGTCTTCACCCTGTTTAACCCTCCAGCATGTTATTTGATGCTCAGTGTGCTCTGTTTTTCCTTCAGGGTCTTAAAGTTTTAAAAAGTCTACAATTTAAGCATCCACATTCGTTGTAAATAATGCAGGGTTCCACACAATTCCTTAATGTTGTCCCAACACAAATAGATTAAGTTAACTTAAGTGTTTTTACAAATTTGAGTGAATTGAACTTAAAACAATTAGGTTATCCTAAAATATTTTTTTTTTTAAATAAGTAGTTTGAACATGCAGCAAAAACACTTTTTGAGTGTTGAGGGCCTTAAAGTGTTAGATTAACTTATGTAAAGTAATGGAAAATGTACTGAGAAATCGTACTCCAAGAAACCAAAACAAGTAGTGCAAGTAGAGTACAATTATCTGTTCTACAATTAAAATGTTTTCGCTGTTTGTTTAAACGATTTATATAAAATGAGATTAAACAACACAGTTATTGTGATTTTTTTTTTTTGGTGGGAAACAGCTTAATTGTTTTACGTTCAGTACATTTAAACTTGTTAAGTTACCGTAACAGATTTGTGTTATGACATCAAGAATGAATTGTGTGCAACTCAAAAAGTCACCTTTCTAAGGCCCTGTTTTCACTAATATGTTTTTGTTTTAAAACGCATAAGTTTTATCGTTACGAGTTTTTGAGCACCAAAAATGGAGTGCTTTGAAAACGCTAAAGAGACTTTTTTCATTTTAAAACGCTGCTGCTCCGTGCCAGTGTGGATGGGGGGAAAAAGGAGACATCTGAAAACAGAGGCGGGCGCTGCAGACATTCGACTATCTGATTTGGGTCTTTTCCCTCAATATTAAGTAGCCTACACAAGGTTCAGTCCTGCATCCTCTCCCTCTGAGTTCAGACTTTGCAAGTTTGATATGGAAAACAAACTCCCAAGGACACATCGGGTAAATCTTCAAAGGGAACAGTGTACTTTATAACATCATTCGCATCACCCTGGCTACGTTGTTTAACTAGTTATTTTTATTTATTATGATTTGTGAGTGTGTGAGTGCGGTTGACTTGGGCTTGGTACGCTTGTGTGTGAGTGCAAAACGTGCCAAAGCCCGAAACTGAAAGCGAGACGTGACTTTTAAGGGGCTGTTTCATATGGATTTATTAATCAATCTTAATGTTCAATGAACGCAAACTGCCGTAGTTTATTAAAGACGCAAACCTCTCACTGCACGACAGCTGCGCACCTTCAGCAAACCTCCTCATTTCTGCAGCACGAGAGCTTTATGATTGTTTATGAGCGTCAAAAGTGGCTGATCTGTTCGACAATAATATATATCTGACTGCGTGTCACCGCATCCCAAAGCGATATAACTGAAGAAGTCCCCACTGTGCTGAGTGAGAGCGCTTCTGACCATCGCATCATCGATGACGTAAGCGTGCCCAGGCCCGATTGTAGTGTGAGTGCGGGCCGTCGGGGGAGACGGGAGGGGGGACAAGCATGCTTTGGCCCGGTTCGAGGCAACTGTACATAGTGCGAGTACGGCTTAAATGTCTTTTAGTGGATGTATGAAATGAGAGCCGCTGTAGTTTCTGTACCAGTCTAAACCATATAAATCTTTTTTTTCTGCTTAATTAGAAAATTTTTTTTTTAAACAAAATTCTGTGTAGAAATTACAAAAATTACAAACAAAAAAATCCACAGATTCTGTTTTGCCCTTACATTGACCAATGAATGTGCTCTTCTTCTTCTGTTCTTGCTCTGATGATTGTTTTTAAAGCACAATTATTTGTTGCATAGTGTTCTCTTCCTCTATTTCTTCATCCTCATCATCATCTTCTTCTCTGGTGTTTGTTGTTGAAGCTGAAGTAAGTGAGTGCCACAGTCTGACTCCAGCCGGCGAGCGCAGGAACAGGAAGATCAGCTCTTTATTTCAGTCCATGAAGAGGTGGGGTTCGGCGGAGGAGCTGGCGCCCGTCCCGGAGGAGAGAACTGTCCCGCATCAACTCATGCTGCCTGCTTTCAGACCTCGAAAGTTTTCACGGTAGACTCTTGCGAAGTCCAAACATCCGGGTTGTTTTCTTAGCTGCTTTTATCTGCGCACAAGAAGTATAATGTAGTAGCATTCACATTTCAGCTTCGTCATTTGCATTTGCAATGTGTTATGGCATTTCAGAGTGTGACTTAAAAGCGCAATGTCTTATTTTCTTTACTCTTTTTGTGTTTAATTCCAAGCCTGAAGGGACAGTTCACCCAAAAAAAAAAAATCTGTCATCTTTTTATCTGCCTCAAGTGTTTTCAAAACTGTTTTGATTGATTCTTTATTATTTTGAAATAGTTATAAACCGTTTGCCATTGACATCCTACTATGGAAGTCAATGGTTACCGCATTGCTACATTCTTCGAAATATCTGCTTTAGTGTTAAATAAAAGAAAGAAACTTGTAAGAGTTTGAAATGTTGAGTAAATGATGATACAATTTTTTATTTTTTTTTTGGGGTGTCCTGTCGCTTTAAATGTTTACATTTTTCATTGAGTAATGAAACAGCGTGTTTTGAATTGGCAGTACATTAAGACATCTTATGTCTTTACTAAGTATGACACGTTTTATCTGCCTTACAATACTTAAAGTCAAAACCATAAATTATGCCTGCATGAGAATGCACTATATATAATGTGTCTTTTTAAAGGTGTATATTTTTACTATTGCTATATACAGTGTATATGATGGAAATATTTTTAAAATGATCAACATATATTTCTGTGATAGATAGATAGATAGATAGATAGATAGATAGATAGATAGATAGATAGATAGATAGATAGATAGATAGATAGATAGATAGATAGATAGATAGATAGATAGATAGATAGATAGATAGATAGATAGATAGATAGATAGATAGATAGATAGATAGATAGATAGATGGCATGAATGGTTTATTTCATTTAATTATATTGCAATTAAAAAACATAATCAGTCTACAAAATAAATAATAACTCTGCGAAACAATCCTCTTCTATCTAAAATTAATGACTTTCTTCACTCTACATAATTTATTTATTTTTTATATGATGTAACCGAGCCTCTATTGGCCATGGAAAAATAATATTCCTGCAAAGTATGTTACAATTCACTCAAATTCAATTGTGTCCTATTCTACATTGTTTCTATATGAAAGGTTTGAATGTGGAATTGTGTGGAATTGAAACGCTTTGCAAACCAACAGTGTCTTAAAAGTCATGCTCAATCCCCTTTTCAATGAAAACAATTGTCTGATTAATTCCTAAAGATGTTAAATCGGCTGGTTGTGCCTTGAAAGCCTTTTATGTTACCTGAATGAATGTTTATTTCATAGTGTAACTTATGTATATATATATATAAACAATAAATTCTGATATGGATAAAGTGGGCTTTTATTATCTGATTTTCTTTTTTTCACTCCAGTTTTTATTTTGAATTACATACAAGTATGCACATTTAAAATATAGATTGAAATATGTTTATAATGATAATAAGAATCCTACACCAAAGGTTAGGCTTCCTATATAATTTATTTTCCTTGTAATATGTTGATTCAACCGAGCTTTTTTTGGACTGTATTAATGTCTTATTGAAGTATATTACTCTCACCAATCCTACATGGTTCTCTTTATAATATTTGAATACTTAATTTCATGAAATATAAATACTTTGACTAACTATTAATGTTTTAACTTTTGTATATTGTTTAAATCGACTACACTTCGTTTTGTCTGTGGCTGTTTTTGCCTATTGACTTTTATTATAATGACATTTTTTGATTGCAAAGCTCGAGCACCTTGACGTTCTTCGCATTCAGGAGCTTTGATGTGGAGGCTGAAGTATGAGAAGGAGCGCTACCCTGCTGAAGAATTTGCCCTCTCCTGTGGTTTGTAATGTAATGGGCAGCACAAACGCCTGTTGATGTTGCCATCCTCTCTGCAGATCTCTAGCACACCTCCATACTAAATGTAACCCCAAACCATGATTTTCCTTCACCAAACTTGACTGATTTCTATGAGAATCTTGGGTCCATTAAGGTTCCAGTAGGTCTTCTGCAGTATTTGTGATGATTGGGATGCAGTTCATCAGATGATTCATCAGAAAAATCTACCGTTCGCCACTTTTCCAAATGATCAACTTGAAGTCAAGTTATTATTTGTTGCTCTTACAACTGGGATCGACGACAAGACTTTTGTCAGGTAGTATTTTTGATTTCTTTTCCAAATTCTGAAGATAAGTGCCCAAAGTTCTCACAAACACGCACTATATTCTATATCAGTGGTTCTCAAAGTGGGGGTCGGGACCCCCCGAGGGGTCGCGGGGCAATAAAGGGGGGTCGCCTGGGGCCTCATGTATCAACGCTGCGTACGCACAAAAACTTTGCGTACGCCAAGTTTCACGCTCAGAATCGCTCACGTTTGGATTTACTAACAATGAACTGAACGTGGGAATGTGCGCAGGTTCACGGCAGCTTTCTGGCAGGCGTACGCACATTTTTTGTGCGTGTCTGTTTTATTTCCATTGGCGACTCCTAGAGGCAGTTGTGTTAAATTCTTCTCTACAAAGTGTCTGATTCTTGTAATGGCGTCTGTATGAGACGGGTTCATATAGTAGGTATGTAAGATTTCCATACCATACAGTTGACCAGCTAAACATTAAAGCACAATTTGCAGCGGTCGCCTGTTTTCCCAATGTAATCTGAGCTATCTACTGCACGCACATTGCTATAAAGACACTATGTGAAGATAAATTTGCATGCGTGAATCAGAAACATTTCCATTCAATAAATGTGCAAATAAAATATGATGCACAAACTTATTGATGATTCCTACTTGTCTTTCTCGTGATAAATAGTGGGCAAAATCTGATATGTAGCGGGGGAAAAAAAGAAGAATGAATTCATCAGACGCTGGATTCGAGCCGAGTTTATGCTCGAACATGTCAGTACATGATCTCATGCTTCTTATGAGGTGCGCCACTGAGACTGCTAAGAGAACTGCAACACTTTACAGATATAAACCACACTATTTCTTTTTTAAATGTACTCAGTGCGATGTTCAGACCCAACTGTGTTGACCGTATCAGCTAAACTCTCCCACTCTATTTTTTTCTTTTGTTGTTAATTCCGCCGAACAAACTTGCAAATAACACCGCTTTTCTCCGGTCTACCTCCGAAAGCAGCACCTCCATTTCACATTCTGTTCAAAGTTTCTCTTTTTGCTTGCTTTTGCCATTGCTTTTTCGTTGGGTTTTGACATTAGCATAGTCATTAGCATATTCATACGGGGGAGGAGGCAGGGAGGGGTTTTGTGCTCGTGCATGTTGCGCTCAGTTTCACGTTCATTCAGATGTACAAAAGAATATGCGTGAGATTCGGCGTACGCAGTGTTTCATACATCTGAATTTTTTTCTGCGTACGCACATTTACAGCTTTGTGCGTACGCAATGTTTTAGTAAGATTTCCACGCAAGTCTTCGTACATGAGGCCCCAGGTGATTTCCAAAAATCTATTTATTTTTATTAAAACATAAGAATTAACATAATTTATCCATAACTACACTGAAAATAAAAATAGTCGTTTATAGTTACTATATACTATATAGTTAGCTTATAGTTACTAGTTCTATTGGATTGCGACCCCTGGGGTAATTACATTATATTAAAGGCAGCAATAGCGTCAGATGCATTTTGATTTTATAACATCAGGTTATATTTTCTGGCACATTTAAAGCACTGAAACAAATTTAATTGGTGTGTCTGCGTCATTGCATGCAAGATTTCTGTATTTATAACCACCTCAGATGATATTGGGGGTCGCGAGTCACTGGCATTGTTATTTTGGGGGTCGCAGGCTTGAAAAGTTTGGGAACCCCTGTTCTATATAACTCTATATACAACCAGAAACTAAGCTCTTTTTCCACTCCAACTCTTGATTAACAGTAAAAATGATAAATTTGACCTCTTTACAAAAGAGAAAACCACAAACAATTAAGAATGTGTTTATGTTCTGTGTCATGGCTTTGCAATCAAAAATTGTTATTATAATGGAAGTCGTTGAAGCCAAGAACATAAGTGTATATTTGCTCGAAATGTATTGAGTTTTTGAAAAAAAGAAAAAAAAATCAACTCATTTTTACTAAAATATGTCAAAATTAATCTACAAAAATTATTTAATTTGCTGAAACACAGAAAATTGTGGTTAAATTAAGACATCCAGAGAGGGCTTTAATGCACTTTTAACTCATTTTACATTAAAATAAGTGTCTCGTGAATTCCAGTGAATTCATTTCAAATTACATACAAGTATGCACATTTGAAATATAGACTGAAATATGTTTATAATGATGATAATAATTCTACACCAAAGGTTAGGCTTTCTATATAATTTATTTTCCTTGTAATGTTTTGACTCAATCGAACTTTTCTTGGACTATAATAATGTCTTATTGAAGTATATTATTCTAACCAATCCTTCATGGTTTCTCTTTGTAATATTAGAATACTTAATTTCAAGAAATATAAATATTTTGACTAACTATTAATGTTTTAACCCTTGTATATTGTTCAAATTGACTACACTTCATTATGTCTGTGGCTGTTTTTGCCCATTGACTTTCATTCATTTTTTTTATTGCAAAGCCATGATGCGTATAATAATGTGTTCTTTATTGTTGGTGGTTTTCCCCGTTGGGTAGAGGAACATATATATTATATATACTCTACCTGACCAAAATCTTGTCGCCTAATGCATTTTCCCAAGATATGTTAAAAAAATAATGTTAATCACCAAAAATTATTTTATTTGCTGAAACGAAGAAATGTGTGGTTAAATCAAGACATCCAGAGAGGGATTTAATGTACTTTTAAACCATTTTACATTAAAATAAGTGTCTTGTGAATTCCTTTGGATGATATTTGTGCCATTTACATCACCACAATGTTTATTTTCATGCTGTCACTTATGTTAATTTACAAAAACAACAACAAAATCTTCAACTAGATGATAAAGTGTGCTCTTTTTACATGATCTTCCTCTCGTCATCATAACTGTCCCTCATATTTCCCACATTTAGCGCGTCCTCCTCCCGTCTCCCACCTTTCCTCGGGGCCATTCCTGATAATCCACCTCTTTCATCGCTCTCCCGGATCACCCTAACAAGATTACACCCTATCAGATCTTCACTCACTCACTATCACCTTCCCAGAAGAAGAAGAAGAACAAGTCCTTTTTCTCCTCGAGGC